ACTTTAAATCTGAGTATCAAGAATAAATCTGAGGGGAACCACCGCTGCTCCCAACCCAGCCGCCATCACTCAAGCACCGGGAGGTAGGCTGGGCCCCGATCCACCACGGGAAGGAGAACCACACCTGCTCCCGACCCAGCAGCCATTGCTCAAGCACCAGGAAGGTAGCCGCGCGGGCGCCCCTGAACCCCCATACCCACGCCCCCCGCGCACTCTCAGACCTGCTGACTGTGCCAGTCTTTGGACCCACTCTGCAAAGACAGAGGTGGCCAGCAAGGGTATTTTTCTGAGTTCCCAACTTTGAACATCTTTAAAGAAAGAGCGTGGGAAACCTGTAATAGAACGTTGCGGAGTTCAACCATTCAGAAGGATGGGGAACTCAATCTGGGCCTTGCAACCCGAGGTCAGTCAGCGATATGGGGTTCAGCCATCAGCTAACTGAGATCAGGGGTCTTGCATCCTCGCTGTCTGAGCCATTAAATGGTAAATACACTATATTGAAATTGTGTTCACTGCAGACATGTTCTGGACTGCTTCTTGATTTCAACTTAATTCAAATGATTTAAGGGTGATAGACTAGTGACCACCACAGGTGGTCAATGTCCAAGTTGTGCTTGATCTTAATGTGTTGCTGATTGTATCAGTTGGGGTAAAGCATTGCTGTTGATTTGATGAGCTGTTTTCTCTGATGTTATGAAGATGAGAATGTCCGCGGGTCATTAGAGTCACAGAAGCTAGGGTGCAACTATATCAGGAAGATTTGGGTGATAATCCAGAGATTAAACCAAGGACAGTCCAACAATAAAAATTAAAATGAGAAAACACTTAAGCAAGACACAAGGACAGACTTCCAGTTTACCAATGGCAAACAGTAGGGCAAATGAGGATGAAAAAGCCGATAGTGAACCGCCAGGACACCCTGAACTCAAAGCACAGGAAGTAACAAAAACAGATCAATCAGGCTCTGGAAAAATTCAAAATAAAAATAATTTCCCAGATAACCATAGAGATAGTGAGCAAAATGGAAGTCGTGATTGGAGACTCTAAAGCAGAAACTGACAAAAAAATAGATCAGCTCAGGACCATGATAGAAGCCATGAAGGCCCAGCATAAGAAAGAAATGGAAAAAATAAATGCCCAACATAGGAAAGAAATGGAATCCATAAAACAGATTCAAGCAGATATCCAGGAGATTAAACACTCCATAGAAAGTGTACGCAACAGAATAAAAGAATGTGAAGATAGTCTCTCAGATATAGAAGATAAGACTGCAGTCAGTGACCGTGAAAAGAGAGGTCTCTTAAAAACAGTAAGAGATCATGAGAAATCGATCCAACAACTCCTAGATGATGCAAAGAAGAATAACATAAGACTGATAGGAATACATGAAGTAGCAGGAGAAAATACAAAGGACTCTAAAAAGCTGTTCACAGAATTAATGACAGAAAACTTCCCAAACAGAGGGGAAGAATTTGACATTCAGATAACTGAGGCATATAGGACCCCAACTAGCTACAATCAAAAAAAATCTACACCTAGACATATAATAATCAAGATCCCAGAAACCCAACAGAAGAACAGAATACTACAAGCGGTAAGAGACAAGAAACAAATCACATACAAAGGAAAGCCCATCAGAATCACAGCAGACTTTTCAACACAAACCCTTGGGGCAAGAAGAGCCTGGAATGAGATATTTCAAGTACTAAAAGAGAACAACCTCCAACCATGTATCCAGCAAAACTCTTTCAAAATGGATGGGGAAATAAGACACTTCCACGACAAAGAACACCTGAGAAACTACATGAATACCAAACCAGCACTACAAGCAATTCTAAACAAGATCCTAGAAAAAGACAGTGAAGGCAACAACACCATGAGGCCCAACAGAGCAAATCAAATAGGCTAGGCAAGAAATTAAAAGGAGAAGGTGAAAAAGTAAAAAGAGTCAACAAAAGGCCAATAACATGTCAATAATAAGTCAGTACATATCAGTTATAACCAGCAATGTCAATGGCCTCAACTCA